GAGGGCCACACCACCTTGGTCCTCATATCTACGATTTATTTTTATTCCATAGGAATGACAATATCATACACACGAGTGACTTATTAATAGTTAACTAAGCAAACTTCAAGCTAGCAGCAAAATGGGCATAAATAATGGATGAAAAGAACATAAGGAAAAACCCACAGGGGATTGAGAATGGCCGGTTGCTGGGTAATGAAAGGAGCAGGATCTTGTCGTGGAATGTCCTCTTCTTCATCAACTAGTCTGTCCTCGGAAAGGCGATTACCAGGTGATGAATCCATGGCTTCGCTGCCACTGCCATTCGTAGTCGCACTCGTAGACACAGCCTGTTGCTGGCGGCTGCGCCGGCGCGCCAGTCTTGTCTCTTCTCGGAGATGCTGAAGCACCTCTTCAGAGGGTAAACGAAGAGCGCCATCTTTGAGCAAGTGGGCTTCTGCAGCGCTCTGTTCCATACGGAAAGCGATGCGCTCACAGCGTGCCAGTAGCCGAGAGAGCGAGACCTGTTGGTGAAGCAGGTCGAGTGCAGCGGTGACCAAACTTGAGCTGAGGTGACGAGTAGCATCCAGTCGTTGCATTATGTCTAATGTGTGCTTGAAAGGCCGAAGTTTAGTTACGGCCTCACCAGTCTTGCGCGAGCAACCAGGCATAAGAGCGAGCTCTTCGACAGAAGCTGTGTTGAAAAAAGACAGTACGGCCACACGTTCCTCTTGAGAGATTTTCAATCCCTACAGAAAGAAGACAATTTTTCAAACAACCGTTGTATTTGCCTTGATAAAGATAGTGTAAGGCATTATAAAGAAATAACGATATGGAAGGTGAAATACTCTAAAATGTACCATCCATAAGACTTACCATCTTAGTGATGAAAATAAGACTTGGGCGAAAGTGAATTAATTGCGCTTTGGCTCAATGGGTCTGAGGTTTAAATAAATATTTAAATTAAAAAGACATGTATTTTTAAGCGAAAACGTGACAAATGCTTAATATCATATGACACAATAAATAATATAGGATACATAAAATTCTTTAAAAAAAATTTAAGGATGGGCCACTCAAGCTTATGATGAAGATACGAAGGCATGGCATTCCGGTCCAAAACGCCACTAGGTCTGATTTGTAAAAAGCGGTGTATTTTTTTTATTGCTTATTATAAAAACATTCATGATAGGAATATTTATATTGCAGTTGAGGATGATTAAATAAAACTTCCTGGACGATTTTAAGCATTATTATGCAAATTTTATGAATACAGAATGAAGAGAATGAGGTCAAAAAATCAACTCACATCATTAGGCATTATTGGGAGATCGGGACGAATCATAATAGGTTTCTTAATGGGGCTCTCGCTTTCACATTTTACAGACTCAGGCAATCGAATCCTGCGACGTTGTTGGCGAATCCCGGCTGAGTCATGAAAATAAATGTGAAAATATGAATAAATGATTTGCGGAGATAATTTACTGGCGAAAGTGCAGTCCAGAAATAGGTATGTAAAGTGACTATATGCTCAGAGGGATTAAGAGGTCCTGGAAAAAAGAATGAGTCAGTAAAAAATGTATCGAAAAATATGCGAAATACATTATTTCCGCAAATAAATGCGGAAAAAAAGACATTGAATCAGTGGGATACGTTAGAGGGCAGATCAACATAGGAGGCTAGAGTTAAGTAAGTGGGAAAAGGTCAGCGCAGGATAGATGCACTAAATTGAAAATAGAAAGGACTCACTATGTCTAATCAGGAGAAGCGAACATAGATTATCCAAAGGTTCTAAAGGAATTACAATTTGTTTCCGATAGCCAGACTAATAGAGGTTTGGCAATGGCTCTCTTGAACAATACCTTATTCACGTTCACAACGATTAATGTCCCTACACATGAGTGGTGAGCCATGAAATAAGGAAATCAGGCAAAGCAAGTTATCCAGCTTGAGGAATTGGAATATAACAGAAATTTTAAAGTGACACGAATCCACTGTATCAAAGCGAGCTAATTATTATACTATTACCATGAGTGGTAAAGAATTAACAGTAATTCCATTATATTAAATAGCATTAAGTCATATATTGCCCATGAGCTCATCTGCTGAAGTCAAGAAAGGCCTATTTAAATAAGTTAAGTGAATTAAGCATGCAGTAAATATTAAGTCGTGGAGATTAAATATCAATAGATTTGAAAGATATTAATAGCTCACATCTAAATTTTAAAGGATGAATTTTGATAATTTAATTAAACCTGTCTAAAAAAATGAAGTATATTCTGAAAATTAGTCTATTACTACTTTTTACAAGGACGGCTTTACGAAGGCTGATAAAACTTTACAGAATGGACTAAGATGTAGATATGAACATATCGTACCCTATTTCACTATATATAAATAAGTCGCGAAATGCAAATTCGCTAAATAGATGTAAAATACTGAGGATTGCAGAGTCAAGTTAATGTTTTCTTGTTGGGAAGCAAGGTTAAGCTAGGTAAAATCTCATTTCACAAATGCTGTAATGCGGAAGGCTACGGAGCCAAATTAGTTTACTTAAGAATAATTCTGCCCTTATGTAGATAGATAAAAATACCCACTATGGACAGAAATGGGGATAGACAGTAGCCCTTTATGGACATTAATAACAAGAGAGCAATACTAATAACTGGACGGCGTCGCGATCTAGTCATCCAAATAGAACAAGATTGAAAGTAATCAACGTTATATTGATTATCGTCATAAGTCAGATCTAAGAAGATCGGAACGAATAAACTTAGATTGAGTGAAGCTTGGCAGAAGGCTAGAATCATAGCAGAGCAAGGAGTCAAATAAATTATTGGAGAATTACCAATAATGTATAAAGAGTAGGAATACTGATGAAACTTGTTGAGAAATGCCCAGAATGAAGATAAAAATCGAGAATCCAAGCAGTGGAGTAAATAGACTATGCTCAAAATGTGTTAAGCTGGTTCAGGTATAACTTACTGCTAGATGCCTTGCAGGCGACACCGACATTAGCCATGAAGTCAGCCACAGATGCAGTGGGACAAGCTTCTGCCATTTTGATAGCTTTATTTCCACTACCAGGAGGGCGACCTCTTTTGGCATGTCCCTTCGTCTGAGAAGCAATTCCCATAGGTGTTGACAACCACTTTGTGCCAGAGGAATTGCTCGAGCCAGCCCCACTTGCCTGATGTGGATGCAACTGGTGGTTAGAACCAGCAGCCATTTCGCGGACGACGTAATCCCGTTTGAGAGCTTCTTTTGCCTCTGGTTTTATGGAGCGAAAAAATCTATTGTGGCCAACAATTGTAGAGGGTGAGGTGAGCGATGCATCTACGATTGACATAGATTCAGTTGATGCGGAATTTGGGATG